CACCCATGGTAAGCTTTGAATTTTCGTACAGTTAGAATGAGTGCCATAATACTGACGCTTAAGTCATGCACCAAAAAATATTAAGATCTAGTCCTGAAATAAAGGCGTCCCTCCTTCTAAAGAATGGGTCGTGAAATTTATGAAATTACTTTCATGAGCTATAAAGTCATACCAACTCGTTCAATTTGTAATTACTTGAAATAATCCTCAAAAATCTCTGAAAAATATACTTGAGGTGCGTGCTTTAGGGGCACCAAAAATTTTTTGGACCTTCACTGGAAAATTTTTTGCCTCCCCCTCCGGACTGAAATCTTGAGAAGCCACTGTCCTGAAGTGAATTATCAGGTTTTTACCACTTGCCCTTTATTACATACACTAGTGGATTTTATAGAATATTTAAAAGATGTATTGAAACAAAATCTAGAAATAGAAAAAAACTTCAAAAATCATAATGCATTAGGTTGATGCATAAATCTCGCACCGAAATTTTTGAAACTCTGTTCTTCCAGCTTCCATGAAATCTTCTGGTTCAACAGCTGATAGAGATAGAGAAAATCTTGTGATTTCAAAAAATTTGCCTGAGCAGAAATTTAGGGCCGCATGCACTAACATCCCCGCGGGGAGGGGATCGCAGCTTAAAAGAAAGCTTTATATTTCGAAACTCCAGATACCTGGATTTCACGTTGTGTACCTATCCGTAAGTACTCCTACTACCCTTCACAATGAACATGTTGAAGAGGAGCGAGAAGTTGCACGAACCGCATTTTCCAGCTTTTGTATGATCCCTGGTGATCCCAGGCGCTTTTCCTTAAAGTCATTTTTCTTTCTCCGAAGTCAACGAAAAACCTCCAGAGTTGTGCAGATTATCCAACCCGACAGTGCTAAGCATGTTCGTGATAAGAACAAATGATGTTTTGAAGTCATGAAATTTTCGATGATCCACAGGTCGAAATTTGAGGTTTACCGAAAAATTCGGCTTTTCAAAAACTCATTTGTTCTCATCAGCAACATGCTTAGCACTGTTGTGTTAGATGTTCAGTACAGCTTTGGAAAGTTTTCGTTAACTTCGGAGAAAGAAAAATGACTTTAAAAAGAAGCGCCGGGGATCATCAGGGATCATACAAAAGCTGGAAAATGCGGTTCATGCAGCTTCTCGCTCCTCTTCAACATGTTCATTGTGAAAGATAGTAGGAATACTTACGGATAGGTACACAACGTGAAATCCAGGTATCTGGAGTTTCGAAATATAAAGCTTTCTTTTAAGCTGCGATCCCCTCCCCAGCGGCGAGGTTAGTGCATGCGGCCCTTAGAGTATACGATATAAGCTGTTTGAGAGAAAAACCCAAAAAGTGATTTTTTGAATTTTGGTTGCTAAAATTGCTAAAACGTTTACTAAAATCTAAATTTGTTTTTAGTCGTGGTTTACAAGCTATTCTTTTTGAATAAAAGTTGGTATCGATTGGTCTCCAGGGGCGGTATGCATCGCCCATCCGGGTAAGTTATCCGGACAGGTAGTTTCCGCTTCATAGCTCGGTGCTCTGGGAATCTGTGTCTTACCTCGTTTGTTCATCTATTGGAGGCTCTACTACCCTAATATTGTAGCACAATGATTAGCAGCACTTTGCTGTATAAGCTGAGATAATTCGTTATTTGTATGATCCCGAACGGGATCTGCCACTGATCACGCTCATTTTCAAAGTTATTTATATCCGCAAAAACTCAATGAAGACATCGCAGAGTTTTGCTAAATATTTATTGCGACAGTGCTACGCATGTTTGTGAAAGAAATAAGTGAAAAATCAAGTTGACAAAATCTTCGATGAACCTGTGCTCGCTAGTTAGGGTTTATTGAAAAACTCAAAACTTGCACATTTCATCTGTGCTACTGAAAACATGCCTAGCATGTCGTAATAGGTCGACAGCAAAACTCTGCGAGTCTACATTGAATTTTTGCGGATACAAATAACTTTGAAAATGAGCATGATCAGTGGCAGACCCCGTTCGGGATCATACAAATAACGAATTGTCTCAGCTTATACAGCAAAGTGCTGCTAGCCATTGTGCTACAATATTAGGGTAGTAGAGCCTCCAATAGATGAACAAACAAGGAAGAACATAGATTTCCAGAGCACCGAGCTATGAAGCGGAAACTGCCTGTCCGCGTAATTTACCCGGACGGGCGATTGTTGCATACCGCCCCAGGAATAGTCATGAATTTCGATTTTTCAATTCGACTAATTGATTTTGTTTCATATCGATTTTCTAAAAGGTACTATAGAATACCACTTTTGATATACATAACAAAGAGCATATTGTGAAAAATTACTAGTTCGTTTGAACACCGGATCTTTTAATAAAGGGTCTATGTAGTTACGAATTCGGGAAACAAAAGTAGAATCAGGTTTGAAGGGATATCTTAAGTGATAAAATTTTTTTGTCAGCATCTATCTCCCCGGGAAGATAATAATTTTTGTCCCAACACCATTGGAAAAAATACACTTTTTGAATATATATCAAAGCAAAGACTCTGAGCCGACGTTTCTGAAAATACATTGCATTATCTTGAGGCTGCCAGTGGCTTTGAGTTCGAGCAGATGAATCAACCCAGACAACTATATGAGCAAACAAGCCCGAAAATTGACAGTCGTGGAACTTGTTCTAGCTCGGTACGTATGTAGTTTTAAAGCATCACACTGTCTCTAAAAGTAGCGAATCTTCTAGGAATTTACCTCGAGATGTTGTTGTTGTCGAAAGAAAGGCAAAAGTGATTGTTTTCGGTTATCGAAGGGAATCGTTTGTCGCGAATGTGCATCTATCTCGATCACTGATCAGCTGGAGCGTAAAAAATTCCCTATAGAGATTCCGGTACAGTTATTCATAAAAAATTTTAAGATTATCTCAAGCTTTCAGAAAGTCTCTCCTTCTTCTGATCTTGAGTTCGAAGTTTTATACGCGATTTTGCCCATACAAGAGGTAGCTTTGTTACTAAAAGTGAGTTGATGCTTTCATGCTTTCATTGCAGAAACCAACCATAAACCAAAATCTTGAAAATATAGCTGTTCAATGCAGTTATTTTTAATGTCTTTGTATCCGTATACCCCTTCGCCTTCACTCAAAATTATATACAGAGGCATAAAAATAATTGTTTTATTGGAATTCTTTTCACTGCCATCCGTTTCTGATGCTTGCGGGCATTACCTTCTCTCAGTGGAAACTATCAGAATGTCCCAAAAGTAAACTGTTTTTCCATATAAATCAAACTGTTGCTTTCCCAACAGACATGGGGTACCATTCGACAGATTGAAGCAAGCTTTACATTCTGAAGAAAAGAGATACGCCTAATGAGTCAAAGATCAAAATTTCTTGATCACCTTGAAAGTCGGATTTCCTTTCAGAAAGTTTCCACGGACCTCTGATTGGTCATTACACAGTAAACACATGATGGTATCTAAAAATGCTTTTGATGGGTTTTTTAACGGCTCAAAATAAGAAATAAAAATACTCCAATATGCAAGAATGTCACATTTTCAGGTTTTTTATGTTGAACTTGGTATGTCTTGGTCCAACGCACATGCAGAGGTAGAATTTGAGGTTAAACTTACTAAGGCTCGCGGTGTACAATCACATATGTAGGAGGAGCTAGGGGCAGGGTCTGCCATTTTCGGACTTTCTTTTTTTCTCACTTTCTAAGCGCGAAAAAAATTCAGCAAATGCATTTACGGATAACTGTGTATTGTCTGTATAGGACTGTATAAGAGCCTCGCAGGAATCTTATTCGCAAAAATACAATTTTCAGGTGTCAAAATTTTTTTCCATCTTGGCAAAACCTGGATTATGATTTAGGCGTTTCTTTGATAATCTTCTCATAGAACTTGTTTTGCTCTATCGAATGGTACCCAAATCTGCTAGAAAAAACAAAAACAGTTTGATTTACTCAGAAAAACCGCCACTTTAGGCATAACCTAATATCATGCACGCTTTTAGGCTATGATAAATGTACGAAAAAATCTAGATGGGCGGAAGTGTTTATAGTTTTTGGTTTTGAATTACGATGGCTTGGCCGCAAGCTTCTTACGACAGTTTTTCAAAATTCGTAAATCAGCGCCTTCCATTCCAAACCTGCAGGTTATTAGTTTTTTTACAGATTTTTTCGAATTTTTCAGGAATCGTTAGCTTTTCAAGCTAAACCCAGATTTGAAATGCGATTCGTCGCATGTCCTAAGTGCGCAATGCCATATGACTGTCCGATGCCACTCGTCACATCTGAAGACTGCGGTTTGACTCGTTTGAGCTCACCCTGCTCTAAAATTTCTTTAATTCTTTTTTTTCAGTTTTAAACAGCTGCTCATGTACAAAGTGTTTTACTGCGTTCTGTTATCTTTGTAAATGGGAGCCGCACTGGCCTATGAGTTGCGAGCAATTTAAGAAATGGACTTCGCGATGGGATACGCAATGTGGGGGTGTTAAATCATGCGAACCAAGACTTCGATCATTGTAACAATGGTGAATGTTTAGATTTCTATGAGAATCACCATATAGATGGCGAACAACTGCGATTATGCTGCGCTTGCGAGGAGTTCTACAGTGTAGGCACCATTAATTACTTACTTGAATTTGTTTATCTGCAATTGTTCCATTTTAGGTGCCAAATGGGGCAGAAGATAAAAGCTGTCCTAGACTTGTCTGTAATTTGTACTACAGACCGCCATTTGTACAATCGTACGATCATAGTCATGATTCCAAATTCAGTTGGAATGATTTGGCCATAAAGTTGCGCAGGCATCTCACTGCTTTGGAAATAAATATCAAAAATTGTAAAATATGCGTGAGTTTTTCTTTGCGACGATTTTTCTACACATAGTAAGATTATCTTGAACCTTTTGGGGTCATGAAATCCTGCCAGAATCAGTTGAACTCAGGCCTATTATGAATAGTAGGACTGCTGAGGCAAGCAAACGTTAGGCATTTTCTTTTTGAACTAAAAAGTTTCGTTTCTATAGTTATGCGCATACGCAAGGAGACAAAGATTTTTGCAAAATAGTGATTTTGAGAAATATGTCATGGCTACATTCAACGCGGAAAAGAAGGAAAAGTTTAAGAATCTGAGAAAAACGGTAATTCTTATATTGCAAATTTACTTTAGCAAAAATAAACGAATATCTAGGTACTCTATTTAATCGAGTTTTGCACTGGCTGGATATATGTAGCTAAACCCTTTGAATGGAAGCATCTGAGTGTGGAAATATCAAATCTCAATAATAGCCTTCAGTTCATTGAGCAGCAGATTCCTTCAGCAAGGTAACTGCTGAATACGCAAGTTTTCATCAAAAGAATAAAAATTTTAGGGACGATTTTATGAAGCATATGGATGAACTTGAGGAGGAGACCAAGAACCTCATCGAACTTGTTCGAAAGAGTTTACGCCAATCATAGAATATGCAGAAAATTTACCAGTAGAACAGAATTAATAAAAACACTGATGATGAGAAATTGTGGTAACTGAAAATTCCATAATACCTTCTAGTGAAAAAATTCTGTATTGTGATTTTAAGGTTTTTAAACAAGATATTATATTGCTTCAGACCTCGACAAAGTAACCAACTCCGTAATACTCTTGGCCAACGTGGTGGGGCTATCTCTCCATTTTTAGTGAAGTTGAAGAAGTGAACAAGAAGTTCTTTGGTCAAATCAAGCCTTGAAGCAAAAAGGTCACTCAAAAATTGGTACTAGAAAAGAACCAAAACCTGAAAACTACGTTTATCTATTTATTTAATTTTCATAATACACTCGAGGTGTGCCGTCAACAACCATAACCAAACACAGATGACATTAAAGTCAAGCGAACATTGAACTCAAACAAACAGCCAGCTAATCACCACGGAGGCACTAGTCTGCCTAATAATGATGTAGGGTTTACTTGTTTTTATCGACGTCAACAGTCTTTGAGCACAGTTTAGTACATCTAAACAAGGAGATCTTGCTGTTTTTCAGATCTAGATTCCCTTTCATTCGCAGCAGCGAGCCTAGGGGCGGAGGCCACCTGACAATAACCCCAAAGAAAATTATTAGAATTTCTGAAAGGACAACGCGACACACACAAAAAATGCTTGTAGAAGATATGCAGAAGCATATCTAGTGCAGGTAACCGGAAGACTCCAAATCAACAATGGTTGAATGCCGAATGAATGCGGACTGCATCTGGAATCATTTCTTAAGGTCAATCTCTCACCGAGATAAACTGGCTGGTCCCAAACTAACATTATAAAAGAAGTCAAAAATTATCTACAGGATAGTATCTATATGTAAAAATGCTATTGTGGTAAGTGTAGTGGCCGGAATAACATTTGTTGTAACGATAGCTGGGCCAATTCCTTAACCACTTGCCTTGTGGAAAATTTGCAAATACATCACCTGTCTACTGTGGACCGATTTTCTAAACGGAGATGAAAGAAAGGTTTTATTGTACCAGGCTCACAGCTTCACAAAATCATGAATAATCTGCAAAATTGTGGATCCCGAAAACCAAGTAATTATGTATAGATGCTGATAATTTTTTAAAGTTAAGCATAAGTTTGAGAGATAGGCATAGTTTAGACTTATTAACTGAGATCTTGCACGAATTGTGTTCGCAGAAACACTTTTTTGGCACATTGAACGCGCAGTAAAACCAAAAACAAAGACAAATGCTAATATCGACGATTTTTGAGCTCTTGTGAATTAATTTTGACACAGAAAATGTGCACAATGTTTTTGTTAATAACTCTCTGCTTTAATGTTTTTTTGCCGATCATTTGGTATTTCTGTAGAGCAAGCATCAACTTACATTTACGATGGAGCAAATTTCCGATCTCTCGTCGTTACTGTAGATTTACGGCAGGAACTTCCAGCATATAGAACCCTTGTGAAGCAGACCGTCTGGCAATTATTTTCAAATCTGCAAAATTGTATACCAAGGTTCACGCATGCTCGTTTCAATACAACTTTTTGCGAATGTTTTCAGCCTTTCTGACGGCGTAATCGCATTTCTGACGAACCTACGAAAAAAGGACCACATGAACTGGAAACTTCATGATCAAAATCGGCGAGTTCGATTAGCCTAATAAAAGAGTTTTTGGCTTGTTTGCTTTTGATTCTGATGTAAAATACAATGGCCTAGAATCCACGTCGAAGTTCTCACCGTAATCGAGAGGCCTCATAGCTCATTGCTAATTAAGAAGGATCCAAAGCTCTTTGCTTGAGAGGACAACTCTGATGACACACAGTCTCAGAAATTGGTGAATTTTTGAACTTTTACCTATGGAATCTGGTCAGAGGGAGAGTTTCATTCATTATTCTGGCTGTGAATGGGAACTTGAAAGAAAGTATGAGAAAGTTTTGCATCGTTCCATGAAGCTCACACTCTCATCAGAATCCCTGAAAAATCACAAGATTCTAAAGAATATCGAAAAAATATTATTGAGTAACTTACAATCATATTCTTCTCACGAAATGCGACATGCTCCTCGAAAAAATGCACGAGTAAATCTTTGGTCTATGGAAATACTCCAATGTCACTGCACTTCCTCTTTGTCCATGATTTTTTACACTAACAATCGAAGTATGATTCCCATTCTGTCTTGAACGTTCAGAAGAGTTTCAGGGAAATTTGCGTGACATCCACCATCTCAAGTAGCAAATCACACGAGGATACAATAGGAAAGATGGAAATAAGTGTGGATGTGAGAGAAATGGAGTGGAGTCCTGTGAGTTATCAAATTCACACAGATATTTATGCGTTTTGGGGTTAAACTGCATATTTTGGGGCGCACGGATAGAGAACATCGAAGAAATTTCAAAGCGTTTTAGAACCTCCCTATAAGCGCAAAATACTTGGTAATATATGCGGTCAATTAGAAATTAAGACTGAAGATGCTCAATGTTGCTTCTAAGCGTGTGTTATGAACTCACACTCACTTGTCAATAGACTCCACTCCATCATGGATCCTCCCCCCCCCCTCTCCCGGCACACTCGTCGTGGCGAAACAAAAAATTATCCTGTTTGTGACTCATTTTGCACTTTCAGGCGTGAGACCCACAAAAACTCCCGCTTGCACTGAAATGTAGCACTAGACAATGAGAGTCTTGCTCCGCGTCTCTGACGTCTGTCTATTGCACAACGTTGACTAACAAACGCTATATTGAATGTTTTCCTCTATTTAAGACTCCAAGTATGTTGTTTTTAGCACAACCTTGGAAAATCCATTTATTTATGCTTTTCATAACATCCTTTTTGGTGAATTACGGCAATTTTTTGCTCCTTGTCAACTTAATCCGAGGTTTCATGTCTTCTCCTTTGAATTTGATGCATTCATCCTCTAATATTATGCAAAATAGAATGTAAGCTAGAATATGTGCAAATTAGTTGATATTTTGTATCAGGTAGAAAGAAGTCAGGCATTTTTTGAAAGTTTGTCGGAGTAGATTTTACTGGTCTAAAAATATAAAAGAAGCCGTCAACGCAAAATGAAGGCTCAAAGACTAGCTAGGAGTAAATTTTTAGAATTCTTCCTAGCACCCATTAATTTTCGTGTTGTTTATTCAGCGAGTGATCACTATTAAGCCCTTTCGATTTTCGCGTCTTATCACCTTGAAAGATTTATCTCTTTAGTTTATTATCAAAAATCAAACTCTTCGTATTTTTGAATCATCCTAAACTACAAAACACCAAAGAGCACTACATTCAGGGAAAAGTTTATGGAGTTAGCAAAACTTAAGTGCTAGATGCCGACTTGATAATTCACATCCTCGTACTATTTATTGTGATCTGCCTTTTTTAGATCCGTGAATATCATGTCGTGTTCCGACACCGAAGAGTATAACCTCATGTAAGTAAATGTTGCAATAACTTCCGCTCATAGACTTCCACATTTTGAATCACAGGTCTCAGAAGGGACGTTCCCCAAACTATGCGAAACAAAAGAGGCCTTATAAACATATCCGCAGTGAACTTTATATCACTAAGACGTTGTATGACCCAATGGGTACGATCAGCAAGGTAGCCTCTGAGTGAAATTATTCAATCCATCATTATTTTTGCATTTCCAGAATCGCCGAAGGAAAATCTTGGCAGATAGGTCGGACGGGTTTTGCTTGAATGTCCCCTATTCTATGAATAAAAAGGAGAGATGGGAGAAAGTAAGCGCTCTGCATTGATGACACAACTTTATTTGAAATTATAGATTGATGGTACCACCGTTTTTGAAAATCGACAACAACCGTCAGCAGATGCTCTCGAGACCCTTGTAGTGGATAGAGCGGATGTGCCTTTTTCTGGTAAGTGTTTTTCATTTCCTGAGTTAGTTGCTTTTTCTTGTATATTCCGACAGATGACGGTCACGGTAATACGGTCAAAAGCATCAGACTGATTCAAAATGATGGCATAACTACCTTGGCCAGTGGGGGAAGAAGGAAGGCGGTACGTTCAATTTATGATTTCAAGGTCATCAGTAGATCACTACCTGAAAAGCCGATCACCGAACGTATCCATTTTTTTTGTACTTGCAGCTCAGCCACTTCAGTAATCAAATCAGGGATCTAAGGCACATGGACAAAAAAGAAACAGATCCAGCAAGGCTCCTGTTCAATTTCTGTACTGCCAATCAATATTCTGCACAGCAAACGAAAAGAAAGTCGAAACAAAGTTGGTTAAATTCAGTTTTCTTGTTTTTTTTTGTTAGCATATTTTGCGAATATTTAGGAAAACGGCGAAGAGCTTTTCAAAAGAGCTCTTTCAGCGATTACGGAGATTACGAGGAGCTAGAGACTCTTGGTAAGATTTATGTAGCAGTTTTGTTCTATAAAAATATCTTTGTCAATTCTATGTCTCGATCATCAAGTTCTTTGTTTCCGATGAAGAACTAAACACATGTTTTAAACTTAGAGTTGGTCACCGTAATCCCAGTGACTACCCTTTGATTCAGATTGGCGGCTGCAAGGCCTCCGCTCACGCCCGCGACGCAGTCTGCGTCTCTTTCGGGAATGTTCTCTGTTCATCCTCTAGCCTCGATTAGGTCACAAAGCCGCGCCCTCCAGCCGCCAATCCAGTTGAATTAGGGAGTATATGTATTCCTAAGCCAAACGCCTTTTCTAGTGAGTGAAGTTTTCGAATTTTAAGAAGAATCATCAGTATTACTTGCTGGAGACATCATCTGCTAGGTTTATGTCGATTATCTCAGACCTTTGTTATTCATATTATTAAAATCTGTGAAACACGGTGTTGTGCAAATATAATACTTTTTATTGATTCGTTTAGTTTCCGCGTGAGATTTATCAGGTGAATTAGAAGAATGTTTGGGGAAAAATGAGTGACAAAATTAATCCTGTTGTCGAAAACTTTTAAAAGTAATGCGGAACATAGCCATATGGAAAAGGTTGAGATAGCTATATTAAGGGGAGATCTCAGTAGTGATTCTCGTTTTATTTTTGTCACGTCTGTATTTCTAGTATCATTCATTAACTTTCCATATTTTTTACGTTTTGACATGATATGTTAGGTCGGCGCATAAATAACCTTTTTGAATATCGTGCTTCTCCTATCATAAAAATTATGATGTAAGCTACAAATCCGACCATTTTTACCTGAAAAAGCTCTTTGTAAGGCTTACAGTAGGTTTACGGTAGGAGACTAAATTTCTCTTCTCCTTCCGTAGAACAAAGAAAGCTCTTCAGAATCTGCTGAAACGTGTTTTAGGTGTTATTTAGCATGCTGATTACAAGAATGATGCCATTTCGATTAAAAAGGCTTCTTTGGAAGGTTAAAGTATGAATTTTCATCTTCGCAACAAGAAAAGTGTAGTTTTCTTAGCATGTCCAACCATCTCCTTATGCGAAGCCTTGGCAAATTTTGAGTTCTCAGAGCTTCGTTTCAACAACGTCCCTCTAAATCTATCGCATTCGACTTGTTCAACTTCTCGAGGGCTTCAGATCTCAATTTGTCTCAAAATTCATTCTTTGTTACTAATTCTGTTTACTCAGTCTATAGCAGCATGCTTGCCTCAATTCCGTCTTGATGTGTTTGGTTCAGGTTGTGCTCTGCGTCATTTTTGCTTAAAAATCGTAAGACATCGATTTTTAAAAGTTTTCAATGTATAGATTTTCCTATTATGTTGGTAAAAATCTGTATAATGTCAATAGTGAGAGTACTACATTCAAATAGATCAAAGTTATGGGAGAAGCTGCAAAACTTGTATGCCATCTAACATTATTTATGTGCTTAATCACTTCGCTAATTCAGATTTTGAACCGTATGCGAGTGAAGAAGAGCATCTTGTTAACGAACGTGGTTCCCTTTCATGCGATAACAACAGCGAATCTTCACTTGGAAGTTTTAGGTGAGTTTAAGTATTTTTGCGTGCAACATGTAGCAGAGAGGACACTTACAGGGTATTTGAAAAGTTCGTGTCCTAAAGTACTTCCAATTCAAATTTTGACACGCATTTTGTTTTGGCTGCGTTCATACTGATCTCGAAGTTCGGGAACAGTTCCAGCACAGCGCTCATTTCAACCGCTGTGCTGAAACTGTTACCGGACCTCGGGATCAGTATGAACGCAGCCCTTATTGTGCTCATCAGACCAAAATACCATTATCTCAGTAATCAAGTTCTTCGCGGTTTCTTTGATTTTTTATTAGATTGAACCACATCAGTATAACATTCCAAACCTCTTTCCTTAAAAAGCTTGTTACAAAAAAGGAAACATCATTCACAGAAAACTTAGTATACCTTCTAAAACCCCTTTCTTTAAGGTTTCTTAATTGTTCTTTTACTTTCATCGAAGTGAGTTCGTTATGAAATATCGTGCCTTGAAAAACAAGAGATCCACTTTTACTAATTTTTCGTCAAAAAGTCCAGCCCCGAAATCTTTTATTTTACCTTCAAAACCTTTGCAAGCGTGCAAAATTTTTGAAAACAAGTATAACGAAGGTCAGAGAGTTGTGCTACAAATACATGTTGAAATAAGACTTCCACACTTTTTCAAACTGAAAAAATTTCAACGCAAACTGGTGCCGCAGCTGTCTGATGTGATTTAGCACATAGAAAAATCTTCGTCAGCGAGCTACTGAAGAACTTTTGTTACATAAAGAAAGTGTAAGTCTAGGACTATTTGTAGTAAAAAAAACCAAAAGCTATTCCCTTTTCCGGCGTTGAAAAAAAAGAACAAACTAGATAATGCACTCCCCAAGAAAGCTGAAAAAATTGTATGCTTCCAAATTTTTTAGGGTATTTTGAGGCAAAAAATATTTTTCTTTGTTGATTCAGTGGTTTCTATGTTTGGAGAACACACATAGCAAAAATCGAGTTAACATTCGTAGTTGAAGTGCTTAAGGACACGAACTTTTCAAATACTTCAAAAATCAAGAAAGCGATACATATGAAAACGATAGGATTGCAGTCTGTTTGAGAATCCGAAGTGTTGGCCATAGTGGTGCTTTCTTCTTAGTTTGATACCTTGCATGAGCGGTAAATCTTGACAGAGCTCGGCACGAGCTGAACCATCGAGCTTTCGTGACAAAGTCCGCTTTTGATGCTACTGAGATTTTTTACAAAGTCAACTCCAGCGGTTTCAAAGCCTTTTTACTTGCTACTTGTCATCAATGTCTTTGTTGTCGCTCAACCATGAAATGGTGAAAGAGCGAGAAACCATTTTTTACCCTATTAATTATACAGAAGAAAAATCTATGCGACATGTGTCAACCTTTTTACTGTACGGTCGGGACCTGAATACTTGTCCGGCACACTTTCCCTCCCCTTCACATCTCTCCCTTACCACAACTTCAACCCCTATTTCTAAACTTACTTTCAAATGCTAGAGAGAAGAGAGAAGCTTCAGCACTCCATTTCCTAATTTAAGTCTGGAAAAAGAATTTGCAAGCAAAATCAGTTTCATTGGTGGGTGCTACCAAAAAAGATACACCAAAACTAGTTAATGATTGTCAGTTAGATCAGATGTATCAAACAAACACTCCACCAATGTTTCAGTGATCTTGGTCTTGACGAATGTTTAATATCAGCGAAGCAAGAAACTGATCAATCTGAAATTTGCGCATCAACCTTCTGCAATGCAAAAGACCCGAGCGTTCCTTCAAAAAAGGTTTGTGAATTTTTTCACATTGAAACGACAACGTAAAGAATTTGCACTCACATTACAGACATCTGCTGCATCAGATTCTCTCAGAGCCGGTCCCACTGGAACTATTTTTGAAGTAATTGAGACTCCACTGAAACACTTTAAACCTTTCAGCATAGAAGAAAATGTAAGTTTCATAACTTTGGAGTGTTTCACTAAACCTGAATAATTTAGATCATGCCGTTCATACGAAAGGAGCTTCTCAAGAAATGGTTGGACCCCAAAAGACTTTTTGTTTATAGCCTTGAACTCTCACATCCAAAGTTTGTGATATTTTTCGAGGAAGATAGCAGCCAGGATTTACTAAGGTGAGGTTTGACCCGCTCAACTAATAAATGGGAATTTATGAGGATTTTTTGTGCACATTTAATTTAGGGTAAGAGTGAACACAGACACACCGTATACACCAGCAGCAAGCAGAAGCCGTCTAATAGACATTGTGAAAACAAAAAGGAGGAGGAATCTTTGTTCACTTTTCAAGGACTTGTACGATTTTATCGCTGATACAAAGCTGGAGTAATTATCAATCCCAAGCTACTAGCCATGCATGTCTAGGCATTCTTGTTTTTAGCTGGAGAGTTGAGATTTACAATAATTATGATTGGGATTGTCGGCTTAATAGATATCCGGAAGGCTATCAATGCCGCGTTAACAGCAAAACGATAGCGCCCATTGTAAGATATTTTCTGTTTATCCAATGCATATGGAATGAACTTGGGAAAGTTTTATATCAACATATCTAGGCTGCGAGCAATTTTGAGTTTGAGCAAATCAACCTACTCAAGAAGTTCTATGATCAAATAAACACAAAATCGGATCATTCAATTACAGATTGTAACTCGGTAAATCTGAGGTTCATTTTCGTGTACTAATTCGTAGTAGCTTCTTGTTCAGGTTACCGTCCTGAGATGCAGCTGCTACCGAAGGGAAGGTAAAAGTGATTTCTTTTTTCTCTCGAAAAGAATGATGTGCCGCCAATGTGTGTCTACTTCGATCATTGCTCAGCTCAATCGGGAAAAATTTCCCATTGAAATTCCGGTATATACAATTAGTCGAATTATGTTATATAATTGTGAGTGTTCAGAAATTTGCTCCTTCTTCTCCTTGTCAACTGGAAGTTCTATATGCGATTTTGCCTATACCCACGGTCGCTTCACTGCTAAAAGTAAGTTCAAACGCATGTGATTTTTCCGAAAATATGTTTTTTACCTATTTCGCATTGACAAGGTTGTAATTGATGAGGGATCATGTTCCTCCGTTTTTTCTATTGTACCATATATAGTGGGTGCCCCAGCCAGCTTCCCACATGTACCAGCGCGACGCACCCGCAGCGCGCGCCTTCAACGCGCTCCTCGACTCAACCTGCTTAGGAAGATTCCTTGATTTTTGTTTTCTTTGGTATTGTTACTCTCTAATCTGCCTATTTTAGGTTCAGCGACCATAGACATTGCCTATGATGTGTTTTTACGGGCACTGAAATCCCGAGCACCTTTCTTTTACGTAGATCTCTCTTTTTTCTTAATTAGTGAGGATTTTCGTCATTTCTAACAATAAGCAGGGCATGATCAGAGTTTTCTCTTACATAAGCGTGCCATTAGATGCAATTCTTGAATAATGGTTGAATCTAAGTCTATGTGAAAGCTTTCGAAAAACCAGTTGTGCTTTCTTTTTCGACTGTGCTCGTGTTCCAGCCTACATTTTTGACTTTTTTCTACAAAGAAGTGAAAATTGTTGTCAATGATGCTTGCTTGTCCTTTCTGGTTCACTTATTACCTTCTTCAATGATTGGAGACTTTCACACTCGCAGCGACTGACTGAAATTGCGACTAGTAGAAGTTTTACTTATTATATTCTTGCCTAGGCTTCTTTCGAGTTAGGCTTGGACATTTCCACTCCTCATTTCACTCCCATTGTATTAGGTTGTCTCATAATTAATGCACGTTTTTATTTGCTTGCTTTAACAACCAGACTCAACCCAACAAAGGGTAAGGGGTACTGTTCGATAGAGCAAAGCAAGCTCTACAAGATGGCACTCATGTCTTTGCGCCATGCTCGATCCACGGAGAGTTCGAATTCAAAATCTTAAGATTTCCAAATGCCCAAAAAATCGAAAACAATCATATCTTTGTCCAAATAATTTCTACGGACCTCCCACTCGCTCACATCAAATTCGATATCCACATGTGCGATTGCCGTATTTTTTCCTTGACTAGAAACTGAGGAAACGAAAATTTTCGTGTTTTCTTAAAAGCAATACTGAGCCGTTTTTGCATATGTAGTTCTATACTACAAGCCTAGGTATAGGGGCCTGCAGGATCGCGAGAGTCGGACGTGCGTACGGCCATTGCGCCGCGCACGTCGTATGTCACTGGGTCGTACTCGATTTAGGCTGGATAGGTGGGATTTTTTTGTTTTTCTTCTCATTTCTCGCCTTCTTTTCTTTTCAGGCGGCGAACATATGTTGGTGCGGAGGAGTTTAAGATCTAGATTAAGGTGAGGTGCAGGATTATGCTCAATACGGGCCAATATTGTGGACTTTTCACCCCTGCTTTGAAGAATGTTGAGTTTTCTGTTCTGGCTGTCCGATTATGTTCGATTTTTCGTCCTGCCTGCCCGGTTACGAAACTCCGTTTTATTTGCAACGTCTGTTCTACCTCATCTTGCATCATGCGCGTCATCACAATCATAATCATTGTCATCATCATCATCATCATCATCACAAGCAATATGCAAGATAAGGTAGAATAGACGGTAGAAATAGAATAGTTTGCTGTAACAGGGCAGCCAGGACAGAAAATCCAACATCTCAACCAGCAGGCATGGAAGGTCTGCAATATTGAGTCCGTATTGAGCATAATCCTGCATCTCACCTTAATTCAGGTCTTAAACTCCTCCGCACCAACATGTGCTCACCGTCTGAAAAGAAAAGAAGGCGTGAAATGTAAAAAAAAAGCAAAAAAAAACTTACCTATCTAGCCTTAATCGACTACGACCCAGCGATATCAGGCGTGCGCGGCGCAAAGGCCGTACGCGCGTCCGACTCTCGCGATCCTGCAGGCCCCTATAAGCATAACTGTAGGTTTTCAGCCCATTCCAAGCGGTAGTTTTCGAAAAATAACGAATTCGGATTTTTTCGTTTCACTTTCAGTGCTAAAATCGACATTTCTCGAAAAGTACCGCTCGAAATAGGCTGAAAACCTACAGTTATGCTTACCTAGGCTTGTAGTATAGAATCACATATGCGAAAACGGCTCAGCATTGCTTTTAGAAAAACACGAAAATTTTCGTTTTCTCAGTTTCTAATCAAGAAAAAAATACGGCAATCGCACATGTGGATATCAGATATCGATAGTATTGATGTGAGCGAGTGGGAGATCCGTAGAAATTATTTGGACGAAGATCTGATTTTCGATTTTTTGGGCATTTGGAAATCTTTAGATTTTGAGTTCGAACTCTCCGTGGATCGAGCATGGCGCAAAGACATGAGTGCCATCTTGTAGAGCTTGATTTCCTCTATCGAACAGTACTCCTTACCCTTTGTTGGGTTGAGTCTGTTTGCTTTGTTAAAGCAAGCAAATAAAAACGTGCATAATTATGAGGCAACCTAATATTTACAAATGCTTACTACTCATAAGAGTAATGAGAAGCATCAGGCCGAGCGCGTGCTGCGTGTGCGCCGCGGAGGTACCTATGGGAAGCTGGCCGGGGCCCAGACTTATCTACTTCTTCTGCAACGAATCATGGTTTGTAAAGCTGGGTCATTTTGCACAATCAGCAACTTCGGCGAGAGTATTTAAGCTGCAATCCGTCACGATTTTTTACTTATTTCCAGTGGGCTGCGATCAACACTTTTCTGCATTCTTCAAGCTTTTATAAGTGGTCTTTAAGTTGGTGGGAGCATACTAATAGGCGGAGCCAGTTCATTTTCCTTCTGGAAAGCGTTTTGGAGTTCTCCTCCGCATTTGGACGATTGCTTAGCTGCAAAGCTAATTCATGTCTTTTTCTATCTATATCATTGAAATGGTTACCTTTCACTGTCCAAACTCATTACTGCTTGTTTAAGTTGTAACATTTTTAGGTGGTCTAGGAATTACTATTCCCAGATTAGAGGACTTGCGATGGGTCAAAAACTTGCGCTTTCTTGGCGATCTGCATCATGAGTTGAATTGAGGAGCTATTATTAACACGCTTGCCATCAATGTGGTGTCGATAACTGCTCCGCATCACCTCAACACAGTCCAAAATGGACGATGTTTTAGACTATTGAATCAACAGTTCCGGTACATAAAGCTTACATGACAAACCCCGCACAGTGGCTGGCTTTCCTTTCTGAACACCCAGGTAAACCTATCTGATGGTACATTTTGAACTAAATGTTACAGAAAGGAAAGCTTCAAAAAGATCCTTGTCCACGCAACGCCAACGCATCCTACAGCTCCAAGGCGTCCCGTAATCCATAATATGTACAAAACCGCAGCTGTAGTCTGTACGGGCGAGAAATTGCAGTGCAACCCCTTTCAGGCCTCCGAAGAAGACGATACTTGTCGAAATGTTAGGCAATAAATGTCCACCATAAAAACCTCTCTGGCACAAAATCAAAATTGCAATGTCCAAATTTGCTTTTTAATGAAGACACTTTACCCATCATATTGTCTTTTCAACAAAAGACTTACTTCACGACAGAAATAGTCTCATTTTTCAGGAAACGTTAGCCTTCCAAGCTAGACCTCGATTTGAGATGCGATTTATTATTTGCCCTAATTGTATACAGCCACATGAGTTTTGCCCAATGCCTCTTGCTACTACCGAAAGCTGTGGTATGATTTATATTACCTCATATTGCTCATGGGTAATCAGTCAGTGTTTTTTCAGTGTTCAATAGTTGCTCATGCTCAAAATGTCACTATGCTTTTTGCTATCTTTGCGAATGGGAGCCACACTGGCCCATGAGCTGCGAGCAATTTGAACGATGGTCTTCAAAATGGGACACTCAGCGTGAGTAACATTTCCTACGCTGGAATGTTAGAGGTATTTGACAATATAAAAATTCAGATGTTTACGAGGATTACCATATAGATGGTGAACAAGTACGACTATGCTGCGTTTGCGAAGAGATCTACACTGTAGGAATTACACATCACTTGCATAAACTTGCTGTCACCCTTGACATTGTAATTTAGGTGCCAAAAAGGGCGATAGGTAGAAGCTGTCCCAAGGAATGTTGTAGACATCAGCGGAGGCCACCATTCGCGCAGTTGCATGACCACACCTCTGATACTGATTATGATTGGCCTCCTTTATTCATAAGATCGTATAAGCATCTAAATGCTCTGGGTATAAAAATAGAAAACTGCAAAATTTGTGTAGGTTTTCTCCTCTTCTATCTGGCTAAGATTAACAAAATAATGAGGTTTTTAAGGGTCATGAAATCTTGCCAGAATCAGTTGAGATCAAACCAGTTATGAATAGAAAGGTTGCCGAGGTAAGTGGGCTTTGTATTTTTATTTTTAGCCAAGAACACAACTATCTAGATATGCGCTTATGCGAGGAGGCAGAGATTTTTGCAAAACAGCGACTTCGAGAAATTTGTTATATCTTCCGTCACGAAAAACAAGGAGAAGTTCAGGGATCTGAGGAAAACGGTGCCTTTTTAGTTAAAAAAAATAGCTCAGTTCTAAAAACGACTTTTTAGATACTTTATCTGATTGAATTTTGTACTGGATGGGTCTATGTAGCTAAACCCTCTAACTGGAGGCATTTAAGTTTGGAAATATCAAACCTCAATAACAGTCTCCAGTTTATCGAGCAGCAACTTCCTTTGCCAAGGTGATTATTGTGCACGTATGTCTCTATCAATGACCCAGAACCTTGGTTTTAGAGACGATTTTGTTAAGCAAATGGGTGAACTCGAAGAGGAGACTGAAAAACTCGTCAAACTCATTCGAAAAAGTTTGAACCAAAGACAGGTTTGAAATTATGCGCCTAAAGTTCAGAAGATGCCTAAAGTATAATGCAATTTTTCATATCTTATACATAGTTATAAAAATTAGCAAGTAAACCTCATGCTCTTGTTCTTGACAAAAACGGAACTACTTTTAGGGACGATCTTGATGCTGGTTTCCAAGGACAAGTTGCTATGCAATTCAAAATTCGAAAAACACTGCCTTTAGTGGTTCTTCAGTAAGCCGCGGAACTATTTCATAAATTACGGGTGATAGTAAAAGTGGAAATTATTTGGAGAAGCTTACTATGGTTTGCTAGTCGTAGTGAGTACACATTGCAGTTGAAAATACTGCAGTAAACAGATGTGATTAGTTACAGTGGTCGTTGGGTTTTTTATAGTCACTCCTATCAGGAACAATCTGCAAATTCTATTGTTGTTATGTCACTTCATCCTAGTATCTAGTGTATGTATGTATAGGCGCCGTAAAACCTAATTGCCCGCGCCGTGCCTTCAACACCAGCTTAAGCGAGCGGTCGTCGCGAACGACTGTCGGCGTTCACTATATTCCAAGAAATCTTTCTTTAACTTTCATGTTGTTCTCGTCAATGCTAGGTATATCTTGACCTCCCTTCAAAAGCAAAAAAAATATGCGTGGGAAGGGTGCGCGCTCATTGTTGCTCGCAAAAGGCCTGTAGCGCTTCGGGACAAACGTTCCCAGCCGCGCCGCGCGTTGGTGTTCAAAGCGACGCGTGGGTAATTGGATTTTACGGGGCCTGTATGCATGTATGCATGTATGTATGTATTTTCCCCTCAAGAGGAAGAACGAAATGGAGATAGGCAACATCGAGATTTTTATTGGCAAAGTTTCTTTTACTGTACTCACCCTGTATTTCGTTCTGTCAGAAAGGTGAAAATTCAGCAGCGTCTAACTTATACTTCTTAGGATATTTACATCTGAATTGTAATCATTATAAAGTGTTTTGAATTCATTGTTCACTTGTGTGATTTGGAGGGCTTCTACGAATCCTGTCGATTTCAAATCAATTAGTAAAATTAATGTAATAATGCAATTAAGTAGTAATTAATCAATTAGGCTGTATTTCCTGTCTAAATTAGTTTTAGAAAATCTTGTGAAATTGAGCTTATTTAGTTGCCACACGGGCTCCGTTAGTGCTACCTCAACTTGGGAAGAGGTAGCACTAACCTAATAAACGCTTACTCAAAATCGAAACAATAGTTATTCGACGCTGAGTTATGAGAGTGATCTAAGACTTGTCAATCCTCAAAGTGCTTCTCAAAATACTGTTAGGAATTAGCAAAATATTAGCGTTTTTCTACTCTTGTTTCAGGACAACTTTCCATCAAACTCTCTTCTCTAGAAAAGACTTACATTATTAAAAATCTCTTTTCATGCTCCATTTTATGATGATTGAAACGGGTTTTTGATTTCATTTATTTACAGAGCTTCAAACATGAGCATTTATATTTTCGTCAGGATTGCGCAATGACGGCGTTTTTTTAAAAAAGTTCAGCTACTCTCTGAAAATTGTCTACATTGCGCACACTTTACCATTTTTCTCGCGATAGTAACCAGACTGGTATACCGGCTCGTTAACAAGGGTAGTCATTTTAATCGTTCTATGGCCCTTTTTTTGAAGAACTCGATCGTCAAAGCTTTGCTCATTACTGTGAGCTTTAGGGTAGGCCTCCTGTCGAAAGTTTTCGCAAAGCGTTTAGCTGTTCAGTACGCAACAAACCAAAATTCAAAATTCAAAATTTGAGGCTTATTTAAAAATGTTGAAAAAAGCTGTGAATTTCAAAATTCTTTGTCCAAGCCTTTTTCTTCTTTGATATTATCTGTTTGCTGCTACAAGATAGGCTAAAAGAATACGAGCAAAAGATTGCGAGCATAAGTTCTTGTTTCTCCCAAGCAACACATTATGTGCACGTACGACACCACTGTGTGTGGCGCGTGTTTTTTGAGCGTTTGAGCTAGAAGATTCAAGTATCTTCAGTGTCCCTGCATTGCTGCCGACATTTACGAAAATTCGCTCTTGAACTGCAAAACCTATAATGCCGGCAGAGCGCAAAAAAGTTTCTGTGTCCTCTCGCATTTCGTTCAAACATTCAGGCGTGAATGTTTTACACTGAATTTACTGTCGGAACTATTAGGTTCATGCACAATTCATGCACACGAAAATTCTTAGAATTCTGTCCTTCTCCAGCTTCCATAAAATCTTTTGATTCAACAGCCGATGGAAAAAGAAGATCTTGCCATTTCAGAATGTGCTTGAGTCAAAGTTTCTTGAGGAAGGCAACGATGTAAATTTTCTCAAAAAAAAATACCCTCGATTTTTGCTTGCTGAAATCGCTAAAACATCTATAAAATCTGAAGTCATTTTTGGTTCTTGGTCTTATGACCTACGCCTTTGTCTAAGAATAGGTTGATAACAGTGGCGTACCCAGGATTTCCGCTCGGGGGGGGGGGGGGCGACAAAAAATTTTTTCAAATGACGGTGCGTGGCGTTAGCCACGCACTCCGAAAAAATTTTTGGGGTGCTTCTCAAAATTTTTGCGGGTCCCCAACCCCTAAAATCTGGAAAAAGGGGGCGTGGGTCAGCCACTCCCCCGGAAAAAATTTTTTTACAAAGCTAATTTGAATTTTTAAAAATTTTTAAAATTTATTTTAGTTATTTACAAGTATAAACAAGTCACTTGCACATTTTTATAACCCATATAAGTAACTTTCAAAAATTTGGCGACCCATTCTTGGGGATGATTGGATGTCTCTAGAAATAGAGATAAATTTCGTATATTTAGTTTGACTTATTGATTCTTCATATTGATTTTCTGGAATGTAATATAAAACAGCACTCTGATATATACGTAACAAAAAGCATGTTGTGTAAATTAATTAGTTTGCTTAAGCATTAAAATAATTTTTTTTCAATTTTGAAACAATTGTGCAAATAGAATTGCAGATTATGATTTATTGATGTAGCAATAACTGCAACCTTTTGAAGCTATCGCAAACACTCCTTTTGAATTTATGTTTCAGCAGAAAAAGCTGCAAAAATAGTATGTTGTTTTTGTATTTCATAATCATAAAATGCTCAACTTAGTATCTTTCACAGTACATCACGTGGTTAATATAAAGATCTACCTGAGGAAATGGGGGCAAACGTTACTTACTTAGACGTGGTTCTTGATCGAAAATTGTTTTTTTCTCTCATATGTTCTGGCTGTGTCAGAATGAACCAGTGATAGTACAGATCACTTGAAATTACCAAGAAAGTTTAATGCTTCTGTTTAATCTTTTCACCCACGATCTTTTCCCATGATGATGCTTTGATGAGTCATCTTGTATTTTTGAAGTGAAAATCGCAGGAACCTGCAACGAAACGTCGCATCATACAACGAGATCCTTGCTCTCTGTCTCTGACGCTAGATTACATAATGTTGCACAACGATTGCGCTTTTTAGTATTCCAATATATAATAAACGCGTTGTTGTTTCTTCTTCAAAAGCGTAAGAAAATGCTGCAATCTTTACTTTCCCCATCGCCAATTTACGCGAGTTATGCAGATTTCTCAACTATCCTCCTTCTCTAGCAATTTCAGCAATAATATGTATTCGCAAAGGAATATAAAATATTAGTTTGCGATATGGAACATTTTTTTTCAAATTATTTGGTTTGGAGAATCTTCAACACTTTAGGCAAAAATATTATAAATGTTAGCTTTAATGCGGACAAATAACAAAAACTGAACAAAAATTTGAATCTTAACATGGGTAAGTATCCACAAATTTCTTGATGTAAATATTGATTAATTGATTGATTATTAATATCGAATAATAATAATTAATAATAATAATTTGATATTGATTCCATGGAATCGTAACAAAAATGCGACAAACTCTTCCAAAAATTAGCGAATTTCCCAACAATTTTTGGAAGAACATTTATTAGTATGCCAGCAGTAGAAACAGTACTTTTTAATGATATTGAGCCTGATTTTGCTATATTTTTGATTATAATAATATTTCCATAAACTTTGGCAAATTGACCTTCTGTTTCTTGATTCATAGCAAGTCCCTGAAATCTTTATTTGCAGCTGTGACACCATAGAAAAAGTTTTTCGATTCTTTCCGACATTATCTGCTGAAGAAAATGGTTTCTAAACAAAATTGTGAGCCAATTGCTGTCCAAAGTACCAGCACATCTACCCAACTCACAGAAATTTATCGAGGTTCTGCAGAACGCAAAGCTTGACACAGGTTCGGTTATAGAGTCGTTTGACGTGACATCACTCTATACTAACGTACAAAACAGTCAAGCCTTACAAGCGTTATCAGAATTGTTGGACAGATATGCTGATACCATAAACATGTTTGGACTTGGCAAAATGCGCACGATGACCCTAATCAGCGAATGCTTGAAGTGCAACATCTTTAGATGGTCTGGGACTTACTACTCCCAGATACGTGGACTAGCTATGGGTCAAAGACTAGCACCGATACTCGCAATTTGCTTTATGAGTAAAATTGAACAGCCTGTGCTAGCTCGTACGCCTTTGATGTACTGCCGTTACATCGACGATTGCTGTGTTATTACATCAACACAATCCGAAATGGATGAGTGTTTCAACATTTTGAACCAGCAATCGCAGTACATCAAGCTCACACGCGAAACACCACACGACGGTTGGCTGCCATATCTAAACGCACAAATACAGTTATCCGGTGGCATTGTTAGGGTAAAGTGGTACCGCAAGAAAAGCTCTAAGAACATCCTCATAAATGTAAAGTCCGCACATCCTGCGTCTGTGAAAAGCGCGGTTATCGGAAATATGTTTAAGACGGCTACGCAGATGTGCTCCGGAGAGGAGGAACGCAGCGAATCACGAAAGTTAGCTTCTCAAATTGCTTGCAGTAACGGTTATCACAACTTATCGCGTATTCGACGACCTAGAAATGATAACCGCATTCATAATAACAACAAACTCCCACTTTGCCTTCCCTTTATCTCGGATAAGATCAGCGCGGCGTTTCAACAATGCATTGTTCGAGCTCAGCTGCAGAATGATGTTATTTTGGTCAACATCCCTAACGACAACATCAAAAAGCAGCTGGTCAGAAACAGGCTCTACGACCGTTATTGTACTACAGAGCCATGCATAGTGTGCCCGCACGGTAGAGTAGGGGACTGTGCAAAAGTGGGAGTCGTATACGAAATTGAATGCCTAAGCTGCAACGCATCATATGTTGGAGAAACTGGAAGAATGTTAAGTATTCGCATAAATGAACATTTGGCTGATAAAAGGCGTAAGAACATGGGCTCGCCGCTGGGCAGGCATAGAGAAATTCGGCATGGTGGAGAAGATTTCGATGTCAGATGTAAGATCCTTACATACGAAACGGAGACCTCGGCTAGGAAAGCATTAGAAGCTTTCTGGATCTCTGCAAAGAATCCAGAAATGAATAATAAGAACGAGTGTATATCAATAACTTCTGACTTCCTCCCGTTCGTATCACTATGTGATCTGTAACTGTAGATCATTTCGCGTGTATCTACAGTACGATTCATTCGTCTGCCGCGACCATCTATTTCCGGTGCAGACTATTTTCGGAAAGCGGTGCTCTTCCGGTATGTTGTTCTGCGTTGACGTTTTATGTGGAATGAGGTCGTAAGAAGGTCGAGAATTGGCGGGATTGGAGGAGACGCTTGGTGGGCTGGTATCACAGATAACACTTGGAACCATTCAGGCCTCTGAGGAAGACGAAGGCGTCGAAACGTAGGGCCGTGATTGGAAGAAGAATAAACATCGCTTAACAAACCTGTTCGGCACAAAAGTAATCAAAAATATCCTCCTTCTATTTTAAAATTAACATATCCTTCTTTACTCATATCTTTTCTTAATTCTCAATCTTAGGCACAGTTTTCATGTCCTACTCCGACCCTGAAGAGTATAGATTTCTGTGAGTAATTACACTCTTTTAGAGTAGCACTTTTCTATAGTCATGCTCATTTCAGTAATAGATCTCAAAAAGGGCACTCTCTAAATTATGCAAAACAGAGACCGAGCAAGAAGCATACGCGAAACGATTTCTATGTCACTAAGACATTATATGATCCAATGAATACTGTCAGCAAGGTAGTCTTTAAATCAACATCTAGTTCGTCATTACTCATGTTTTTCCAGAAACACCGAACGAAAATACTTGCAGATAAGTTGGACGGGTTTTCCTTCAACGTTTCATACTCCATGAATAAGAAAGAAAGATGGGAGAAGGTAAGCGCTTTTTTCAAAGAACCCAGTTTTTCAAATACTATAATTCCACAGATAGACCGTATCGCTCTTCTCAAAATTCGACAGTCGTCAGATGATGCTTTGGAGACCATCGTAGTAAACAGGGTGGATGTTCCATCTTCTGGTAAGCTCTCTCTGATTCTGAACTGGAGTTTGAATCTTCCCGATTTTTTTACAGATGACCATCGCGGCAAAACAGTTAAAAGCATCAACTTAATTCAGAATGATGGCATTGCAACCTTGGGCTGTGGGGGGAGACCACATACGGTATGGTTCATTTTCACCTCGCAAGAGTAATAAACAGAGGGATATATCCGTCTCAATGTCTCATTTGCATTTGCAGCTCAGCCACTTTATCGGTCAAATTAGGGATTTGAAGCATATGGACAAGAAAGAAGCAGATCCGGCAAGAATGCTCTTCAACTTTTCCAGTATTCGTCAATCGCCTGCCAAACGAATGAAAAGAAAATCCAAACAAAGTTAGTTCAACTACGTACTAAGTAGACTCATTGACTGACTTCACACTGTGCAAATGCACAACTTCCCGTTTTTCGGATGGTTAAAAGTACAGCATTACTTGACTTGGTTTGTTATTCTTTGCTAATAACCTTTAGCTTTTTAGCTACTCACTGTGGTTTAACTTCACATCGCTGACTGAATCCGTTCTATAATTATATGCATGTTTTCGTAAATGTGAAACAAAACTGCGAATACTATAAAATTCGGATTATTTAGCTCCTATAAAGTTACTACAAACTATAAAAATAATCAAGCGTGGCCTCCGATATGAGATGCACGATACAAGATTTATCTTAGAAAGCTCATTCCTAAGTTGTCGACCATCTTCTTATGGAACTTAAGCAAGTATTTATATTGTTAAATGATATATCATGGAAAGAATGAGAATGCTCAACGCCACCTTATCTCAATACAATGATATTTGTCATTTTTCAAAACGGAAACAAGCAATCTTGTCACTGCTAGTTATCTTGACTGTAGTGTTTTCTTTGATTTTAAATCATCTCTTTGGTTTTTTTAAACGTAACATACATGTTTCTTTGTCTTTGTCACTTGTCGGAGCTCCTCATTAACGCGGCTTTTCGCTTTGGGCAGTTCAAAAAAGCGGACTAGTGCTTTGTTTTTTGAAAGTGAAAGTATGTTTTCTGATATTTGCGACACAGTACACCATTCTAACATATCATTTTGGTGAAGAATTTGCTTTTTTTTTTAAAATCTGCCTCAATTACTTCAATACGCCATGCAGAGGGTGGACGTATTTTGTTCACTTAGCCTTTTCCTTGCTCTCTGTTTGCCTGTATCTCATTGTCAGTGCTCTTTATTGACAAGTTTTAGATTAGATTACTTACAGATGTTGTTGATTGTGTTGCTTCGAGCATCATTATCTATCAGGTCCGGCTTTAGCGACTCTCCATCTTGTGATTCCTTTTTAACAGGTCCCGCTTTAGCGACTCCCCATCTAGTGATTCCTTTCCAAGAGTCCGGAAGCTTTCGCTTTTGGGATCCTTTGCAAATGATCTTTGCCCTCATTGTTAAGATTTTATTATCACAATAACCTGCATAACGCAAAGAAACGTCCTTGTAACAACAATAGAATACGAAAGAATGTCAAAAGCGCAAAGCGTTCACGTTGCCTCGATGAGGTCCTTTTGCAGTTAAAGGCAGTGTCTCACCAAAGTTGGGGTCGCGCGGATCTTCACATATTCTATTATAGCGACTTCTAAGTAGGCCATTGCAACAAGTCCCACTCATTTTGACCCCTTACACGCTGAGAAAAATTCGCTCAAAGTGGTACGCGGAGAGCGATTTGGTACGCGCGGACGATTCCTTCGGTCTCTCCCCTTACGTTTTTGAACATGTCCCTCTACTTGGCATCCGCCTCCCCTCTGTTGCTGCACTGTGGCTGAGGCTGAAGTTGGAAGGTACAACTCGTCCACGTTGCTTCCGCGGGGCCTCCAGAAAACGAATTTCGTGCGATTTTAAGCCCATACAGTGCTGGACAGGATCCGACAGGCTTGCAAATGCAAAAATCTCGGCAACTAAATTTTGGCGAGACACTGCCTTTAAGGACGACGATTGAGGGTTCAAATAAATCGCCTGTACATCTCATGATAAAAGGATGGTCACTGGTCACGGCCATCAATATCATACTTCTCTTCATAGATAGAGACAGGCAAAAACTTGTAGTTTCGCAATTACCTGCTGGGGGGTAAAGAAAGAAAAGTGCTGTAGTCAAAAGCTTTCGTGAAGCAGGTATCACACCATATTCATAAGTCTTCTACTCCTAAATAAAAATGCTCAAAATATCAGATTCTGTGAATTGTGCAGTTCTTCACGACTAGTGAATTCAAAGCAACTCAACAATTTTGTGAAATTTAGAGAAACGAAGAGCCTACCAAAATGTCTTCGATACCGACTACGAGGACTACGATACTTCAGAAACGCTTGGTAAGTTCAAGCAAATGGATTTTAAATTTTTGCTCAATTCTTGACCCTATTCTTTCTTCGGGCTGCGTAAAAATGTTATTAACAGATCATATTTTGAATGTTATGATCATTATGAATGTTTGGCATCGTTGAAAAGGGTTTCAAAAAGAGCCAAAGGTTTTTCTTCCTACTGACGAAATGATGTGGAGAAGCAAACTCTGATTTTTTTGACCGAATTTTCAATTCAACAAAAAACTAGCTGAAATCGAATATATCAAATTGTCTCAATAGTAAACTCCTTTTTCATACAGTTCAAGCTGCTTTTGTTTTCACAGAACTTAGGGTATTTTTCGATAGAGTAGATCAAGCTCTACAAAATATCCACCAAGCTTTCGCCTAAGTCGAATTCCATGGAAAGTTTGAAGCCAAAATCGAAAAAAAACTTGTCTGACCTTCATTGGTCATTATACAGTGGGCATATTGCAGTACTCAAATATGCCGTTACCGAATTTTTTCCAAGCATAGAAAGCGAGAAACAAAAATTGTTCAAAAATAACAAACTCCGCCCCAGCCCCTCCCACATAAGTCATTGTTTACACGAGCCTTACTAAGTATAATTTCAAGACTTTACCCCTGTATGTGCTCTTATAATCGAGAAATTCCAAATTTTATCTAAAAAGGTCAGAAATGTGGTACTTTTGGCAATTGAAATATTTTTTTTGCCCCCCCCGGACCGAAATCCTGGGATTGCCACTGGTATCCACTATATAAAGACCAGATTGGAAGTTTCTTGAAGGAGATCCGATTCTTGGGGTAGCTGAAAATTTCGATTTTTGGCCAAATTTTACCTGGATTACGACTTAAGTAGATTTTTGGTGGTCTTTTTGTAGAGCTATCCGCTCTATCGAGTGGTGCCCTAAATCTGTCATGAAAAGAAAAACAGCTCAACTTATTTGAAAATGCAGTTTACTTTTGGGACAACCTAATAAAATGTGCTGATTGTATGCGCTAAAACTATATCAATATTTGCGACCAATTATATGCTACACATTAATAAACAAGCGACTAAACTGCTCAAAAAAAATTTGTGCACAAATATATTCTCACAATTATAATTATGGAGCTTTGCTATGCGCAGATCACAATCTTCATTGTAGCTCGTCATATACAGCCAAATTTTGTATTTGATCACGAAATCACTCATCTGTGCACAGACTCATGCTAGAGAACCGTAGTCTAAAATGTGAATTGTTAGATCAGCCTTATATGACTGCTAGTCGTCAGAATTGGTCATTTATCATTGACTGGAAGTTCTAAATCTTTGAAGTAAAAGTGTTCGAAGGGGCCTTTTGCTCGCTGAATGAAATTATCCTCTAGGCAACCTCATAATTTTCGGTCGTGAGTTTTCAAGGTATCTTTGACGAGTTATACATCAAATAAAATGCCAAAAAATTAGATTTGTTGTTTTGTGCTGCTTACCCAAAATCATAACTCTTCAGAGGAGTGCTTATTTATTACAAACTGTGCACAGTTGGAAAGGTTGGATATGGATCAGGACTTTTATGACTGCTTGCTTAGCATCATTATATTGGCGACCTAACTCGAAATGGTCAACCTGGGCTAATTTTATTCTCCCGCTCCTAACTCAAGAGCTGACACTTGTTAAAGGCCGCCAAAATGTTATTCTCGTGCTTTTATCTCAAGAGTTCACACTCATCGGAGGGCAGCAGAAACATTATCACAAAGAAAATGTTTTTTTCATTGAACAAATCAAGTATGTGCAATGTCAAGAGAGGAAGAAGTCATAATTTTCATAGTGGTGTAATTGAACATTTGCTCCAACCTAAATAAGAAAATTACTGCGTATGTATTTGCTTTGAAGCTGTGCATGATGCATAGGTCGGAGACTGCAGGCCGTTGCTCACATAGGATGCCACAAGGCTCCAAACCAGTTGAAGAACTTCCATACTTTTTGAAATTGCCCCGACCTTTAATAGCAGAAAAGCGGAAGGGAGAAAGGAAACTGAGAAAGCTCAGTACGTGAGCAACGAGTGCTGCTCGCTGACATTTGCGATCTCGCATGGCCCTACGCAAATAATTTCAAATAGTTGGCGTTTCTGTCACGCCTTTATTATGTTTAGTGTTGGATAACTTGTCCTTACACCAATACGTCGTTCCAACTGCTTCCTCACTATTACGATTCAGAGTGCGAACCATATGCGAGTGAAGAAGAGTCTGCTGTCAATGAACGAGATTCCTCTTCCTGCGACAATGACTCCATCAAGTTTAGTGAGTCTTCACTTGGAAGTTTCAGGCAAGTTTACAACAGAAGTATATCGCAACAATATTTGACAAAAAGTAGACAAAGCATACATGAGCTTTTGCTTCATACTGTAGAAGAAGAAGGTGCACGAGAAAGCAAACTGAGCATTTTTGGGGAGCTCAAGCTCCCAATGCTGTTGCCAGCTCGAGTTTTCATAAACTTTAGAAACCACTCTACCGGGTCCTAAACCGGACGAATACTTGAGAGTGAGCATAAAGCACATTATAGCTGGAAGAAAGACGGTGATATGGATCGTGCAACCTAGTGCTGTGTGTAAAATTAATAGTAATCATCTTTGGGATAAAATCAGCAATTTCACGCCTTGTCACATCAAACAACCTTACAACTGTTCTGTGATTGGTGTTGATTTAGTGATCTCGGTTTTGACGAGTATTCAACAGCGCCAAAACAGAATTTGGAATTCAAAACCACTTCTTCTCCTTCTGATGCAAAAGTTAATCGGAGCGATCTTTCCAAAAAGGTTGTCTAACATTATATTTTATCTCTTATAAGTTGAAGAATTATCCTCAACTTGCAGACTGCTACTGCTTCGGATGCTTCTAGTGCAGAAAAATCTATTTTTGAAGTGATTGAAATTCCACTTGGAAGTTTCAAACCTTTTAGCGTTGAGGTGTTTGCTCAAAGAAGACTGAACATTCTTCAAAATATTTACAACGTTTAGATCTTGCCATTCACACGGAAAGGACTTCGTAAAAAATGGCTCGAGCCCAGGCGCCTTTTCATTTCTAGTCTCGAAATCCCTCATCCAAAATTTGTAATATTTTTCGAGGAAGATAAGAGCCAGAATATATTGAGGTGGGATTTGGCGTAGTTTTCAGCATATTGTTTGTAATGATTGTTCTTTGTGCACAATTAATCTCAGGGTCAGAGTTAGTACAGACTCGTCCTATACAAAATCAGCAAGCAGAACCCGCTTAATGGACATCGTGAAAACGAAAAAAGAAAGTGACCTTTCCGCACTGTTTAATGACCTGTATGACTTCATCAATGATACAACAACAGAGTAAATCTTATTTTTTTTTAATTGCTCCAGGCATGCCATAGTAGTCATTTTCTAGTTGGATAAAAGATTACTGCAATAGCTATGATTGGGACTGCCGGATAAAGCAGTATCCTGAAGGATTTCGATGCCGCGTCAACAGCAGATTGATAGCACCCATGGTAAGCTTTATATTTTCGGTTTTCTACAAATGAGTCTTGCACCAGAAAATATGAAGATTTAGTTCTGAAGCTTTGGTGCCCCTCCCCCTCAAATTTGGGTTGCGAAGTTTGTGAAAGTTACTTACATGAGCGAAAACGAGCTTACCTCTTTATACTCGCAGAATGATTTTTATGAATTTTTGAAAATTCAAATTAACTTGTAAACAATTTTCTTTGGGGGGGGGCAAAAAATTTTGGAGCAAATGAATAAGGCTACGCGCCTCCACAAAATTTTCTGCCTTCCCTCCTCCCCGAACGAAAATCCTGGGACACCCACTCTCTTAAAATGTTTAAAAGAAGTATCGAATAAACATACATATCATTAGTTGTTAAAAAAAATAAAAGATATTTTGACGGCAAACTCGCGAAGGCATTCAATCATTGGGATTTTTTATCGGAAAGGGTTTAATTGTAAATTCGGGGAATAAAAATACTTTCAGGTTTGATGGGGCTGCTCAGTTTTTTCAGGACCAATTTTTGAAAAAGTACAAATTACTCTTTTTGACAGCATTTACCTCTCTATGAAGACAATAAATTTTGCTCCTCTCAACATCATTAGCAAAAATATGTTTTCTTTCTTTGAAATACATTAAAGGAAAGGAATCCAATCTAGTATTTTTGAAAATCTCATTATATCATCTTGAGGCTGCGAGTAGCTTTGAGTTCGAGCAAATGAGTCAACTCAGACAACTATATGAGCAAGCAAGCCCTAACGTGGAAAATCCTGGATTTTGTTCTGACTCGGTAAGTGTATATGTCTTAACATCAACTATAATAGAAAAGGAGCGAATCTTTCAGGAGTTTACCGCAAAATGTTGTTTTTGTCGAAAGAAAGGCAAAAGTGATTGTTTTCGGCTATCGACGGGAATGGTTTGTCGCGAATGTGCATCTATCTCGATCATTGATCAGTTGGAGCGTAAAAAGTTTCCCATTGATATTCCGGTACAGTTATTCATAAAAAATGACATGGTTATCTTAAGCTTTCAGAGAATTTCTCCTTCTTCTGCTCTTCATTTCGAAGTTCTATACTCAGTTTTGCCCATACCCACGGTAGCTTCGTTACTGAAAGTGAGCTGATTTTTCATGCATTTTCTTATAGAAACTATAAGATCAATTTTGGAAACACAGCTGTTCGATGCAGTTATTTTTGATGTCATTGTATCTATACCCTATCGCCTTTACTCAAAATTTATACAGGCATAAAAATAATTGTTTTTTTTTTGGAATTCTTTTCACTGCCATCCGTTTCTGATGCTTGCGCGCATCACTTTATCTCTCAATCGAAACTATTAGGTTGTCCCAAAAGCAAACAGTTTTTCCATATAAATCAAATTGTCATTGCTTTCCTAATAAACTTGGTATACCATTCGAAAGAGTAAAGCAAGCTCTACAATTCAACCAACAGAGAACAGCCTAACTCATAACTCACATAAAATTTGGAGCTAAAGATCAAAATTTTTCAACGCCTTGAAAAATGGATTTGCTTCCAGAAAGTTTCCACGAGCCTCCAATTGGTCATTATACAGTAGACACACGGTGGCACCCAAGAAATGCTTTTGATGGATTTTTCAAGGGCTTAAAATAAGAAATAAAAATACTCCAAAATGCAAAAATGCCACTTTTTTAGGTTTTTTACGTTGAAATTGGTATTTTTCGGTCCAGCGCACATACAGAAGTATTTGAGGTTATACTTACTGAGGCTTGCGGTATACAATCACAATCAATCACAATATAGGAGGAGCTAGAGGCAGAGTCTGCCATTTTCGGACTTTCTTTTTTTCTCACTTTTTAAGCGCGAAAAAAATTCAGCAAATGCATTTATGGATAACTGTGTATTGTCTGTATAGGATTGTATAAGAGCCTCGCAGAAATCTTATTCGCAAAAATACAATTTTCAGGTGTCAAAACTTTTTTCCATCTTGGCAAAACCTGGATTATGATTTAGGCGTTTATTTGATAATCTTCTCATAGAACTTGTTTTGCTCTATCGAATGGTATCCAAGTCTGCTAGAAAAAACAAAAACGGTTTGATTTACTCAGAAAAACCGCCACTTTTGGCATAACCTAATATCATGCACGCTTTTAGGCTATGATAAATGTACGAAAAAATCTAGATGGGCGAAGATGTTAATAGTTTTTGGTTTTGAATTTTGACGATGGCTTGGCCGCAGGCTTCTTACGACTGTTTTTCAAAATTCGTAAATCAGCGCCTTCCTTTCCAAACCTGCAGGTTATTAGTTTTTCTACAAATTTTTTCGAATTTTTCAGGAATCGTTAGCTTTTCAAGCTAAACCCAGATTTGAAATGCGATTCGTCACATGTCCTAAGTGCGCAATGCCATATGACTGTCCGATGCCACTCGCCACTACTGAAGACTGTGGTTTGACTCGTTTGAGCTCACCCTGTTCTAAAATTTTTAATTTCTTTTTTCAGTTTTCAACAGCTGCTCATGCACAAAGTGTTTTACTGCGTTCTGTTATCTTTGTGAATGGGAGCCGCACTGGCCTATGAGTTGCGAGCAATTCAAGAAATGGACTTCGCGATGGGATACGCAATGTGAGGAGTGTTAAATTATGCGAACCAAGACTTCGATCATTGTGACAGTGATGAAAGTTTAGATTTCTATGAGAATCACCATATAGATGGCGAACAATTGCGATTATGCTGCGCTTGCGAGGAGTTCTACAGTGTAGGCACCACTAGATATTTACTTGGATTTGTTTATCTGCTATTGTTGCATTTTAGGTGCCAAATGGGACAGAAGATAAAAGCTGTCCTAGACTTGTCTGTAATTTGTACTACAGACCGCCATTTTTACAATCGCACGATCATAGTCATGATTCCAAATTCAATTGGAATGATATGGCCATAAAGTTGCGCAGGCATCTCACTGCTTTGAAAATAAATGTCAAGAATTGTAAAATATGCGTGAGTTTTTCTTTGCGACGATTTTTCTATACATAGTAAGACTATCATGAACCTTTTAGGGTCATGAAATCCTGCCAGAATCAGTTGAACTCAGGCCTATTATGAATAGTAAGACCGCTGAGGCAAGCAAACGTTAGGCATTTTCTTTTTGAACTAAAAAGTTTCTTTTCTATAGTTATGCGCATACGCAAGGAGACAAAGATTTTTGCAAAATAGTGATTTTGAGAAATATGTCATGACTACATTCAACGCGGAAAAGAAGGAAAAGTTTAAGAATCAGAGAAAAACGGTAATTCTTATATTGCAAATTTACTTTAGCAAAAATAAACGACTATCTAGGTACTCTATTTGATCGAGTTTTGCACTGGCTGGTTATATGTAGCCAAACCCTTTGACTGGAAACATTTGAGTTTGCAAATATCAAATCTCAATAAGAGCCTTCAACTCCTTGAGCTGCAGATTCCTTTAGCAAGGTAACTGCTGCATACGCAAGTTTTCATCAAAAAAAAAATAAAAATTTTAGGGACGATTTTATGAAGCATATGGGTGAACTTGAGGAGGAGACCAAGAACCTCATCGAACTTGTTCGAAAGAGTTTACGCCAGTCATAGAATATGCAGAAAATTTACCTGTAGAACAGAATTATTAAAAACACTTTCAATTTGCTGTGATGAGAAATTGTGGTAACTGAAAATACCATAATATCATCTAGTGAAAAAATTCTGTGCTGTGATTTTAAGGTTTTTGAAATGTTATTGCTATGAAATGTTATTGCTGTCTCGTATTGCTTCAGACCTCGACAAAGTAACCAACTCCGTAATACTCTTGGCAAACGTGCTGGGGCTATCGCTCCATTTTTAGTGAAATTAAAGAAGTGAACAAGTAGTTCTTTGGTCAAATCAAGCCTTGAAGCATAAAGTCCAGTCAAAAATTGGTACTAGAAAAGAACTAAAACCTGAAAACTACGTTTATCTATTTATTTAATTTTCATAATACACTCGAGGTGTGCCGTCAACAAACATAACCAAACACAGATGACATTAAAGTCAAGCGAACATTGAACTTAAACAAACAACCAGCTAATCACAACGGAAGCGCTAGTCTGCCTATAATGATATAGGGTTTACTTGTTTTTATCGACGTCAGCAGTCTTTGAGCACAGTTTAGTACAACTAAACTAGGAGATCTTGCTGTTTCTCAGATTTAGATTTCCTCTCATTCGCAGCAGCGAGCCTACGGGCGGAGGCTACCTGTATAACCCCAGAGAAAATCACTAGCATTCCTGAAAAGACAACACGATGCACAAAAAAAAGCTTGTGGAAGATATGCAGAAGCATATCTAGTGCAGGTCCAAATCAAAACAATGCTTGAATGCCGAATGAATGCGGACTGCATCTGGAATCATTTCTTGAAGTCAATCTCTCACCGAGATAAGCTGGCTGGTCCCAAACTAAAATTATAAAAGAAATCAAAAATTATCTACAGGATAGTATCTATATGTAAAAATGCTATTGTGGTAAGTGTAGTGGCCGGAATAACATTTGTTGTAACGATAGCTGGGCCAATTCCTTAACCACTGCCTTGTGGAAAATTTGCAAATACATCACCGGTCTGCTGTGGACCGCTTTTCTAAAATTTCGGAGATGAAGGAAGGGTTTTATTGTACCAGGCTCATAGCTTCACAAAATCTTAAATAACCTGCAAAATTGTGGATACCGAAAACCAAATAATTATGTATAGTTGCTGATAAATTTTTTAAGTTAAGCATAAGTTTGAGAGATGGGCATAGTTTAGACTTATTAACTGAGATCTTGCACGAATTGTGTTCGCAGAAACACTTTTTTGGCACATTGAACGCGCAGTAAAACCAAAAACAAAGACAAATACTAATATCGACGATTTTTGAGCTCTTGTGAATCAATTTTGACACAGAAAATGTGCACAATGTTTTTGTTAATAACTCTCTGCTTTAATGTTTTTTTGCCGATCATTTGGTATTTCTGTAGAGCAAGCATCAACTTACATTCACGTATGGAGCAAATTTCCGATCTCTCGTCGTTACTGTAGATTTACGGTAGGAACTTCCAGCATATAGAACCTTTGTGAAGCAGACCGTCTGGCAATTATTTTCTTCAAATCTGCAAAATTGTATACCAAGGTTCACGCATGCTCATTTCAATACAACTTTTTGCGAATGTTTTCAGCCTTTCTGACGGCGTAATCGCATTTCTGACGAACCTACGAAAAAAAGACCACATAAACTGGAAACTTCATGATCTATATCGGCGAGTTCGATTAGCCTAGTATAAGAGTTTTTGGCTTGTTTGCTTTTGATTCTGATGCAAAATACAATGGCCTAGAATCCACGTCGAAGTTCTCACCGTAATCGAGAGGCCTCAAAGCTCATTGCTAATTAAGAAGGATCCAAAGCTCTCTGCTTGAGAGGACAACTCTGATGACACACAGTCTCAGAAATTGGTGAATTTTTGATTACTTATGGAATCTGGTAACGAGGAGAGTTTCATTCATTATTTTGGCTGATATTGAATGGGAACTTGAAAACTTTTATTTTGCATCGTTCCATAAAGCTCACACTTTCATCAGAATCCTTGAAAAATCCTTGAATATTGTGTAACTTGCAACCAAATTCTTCATACAAAATGCGACATGCTTTTCAAAAAAATGCACGAGTGAATCTTTGGTTTAGGGAAATACTCCAATGTCACTGCACTTCCTCTTTGTCCATGATTTCTACACAACCGAAGTACGCTTCCCTTCTGTCGTGAACAATTCAGAAGTGTTTCAGGGTAAAATTTGCGTGACATCCACCATCTCAAGTAGCAAATCACACATAGATACAATAGGAAAGATGGAAATAAGTGTGGATGTAAGAGAAATGGGAGTCCTCTTGAGTTATCAAATTCACACAGATATTCATGCGTTTTGGGGTTAAACTGCATATTTTGGGGCGCACGGATAGAGAACATCGAAGAGATTTTGAAGCGTTTTAGAACCTCCCTATAAGCGCAAAATACTTGGTAATATATGCGTTCAAATAGAAATTAAGACTGAAGATGCTCAATGTTGCTTCTAAGCGTGTGTTATGAACTCACACTCACTTATCAATAGACTCCACTCCATCATGTATCCTTCCCCCCCCCCTCCTCTCCCGGCGCACTCGTCGTGGCAAAACAAAAAATTATCCTGCTTGTGACATTTTGCACTTTCAGGCGTGGGACCCATAAAAACTCCCGCTTGCACTGAAATGTAGCACTAGACAATGAGAGTCTTGCTCCGCGTCTCTGACGTCTGTCTATTGCACAACGTTGAATAACAAACGCTATATTGAATGTTTCCCTCTATTTAAGACTCCAGGTATGTTGTTTTTAGCACAACCTTGGAAAATCCATTTATTTATGCTTTTCATAAGATCCTTTTTGGTGAATTACGGCAATTTTTTGCTACTTGTCAACTTAATCCGAGGTTTCATGTCTTCTCCTTTGAATTTGATGCATTCATCCTCTAATATTATGCAAAATAGAATGTAAGCTACGAATATGTGCAAATTAGTTGATATTTTGTGACTAGAAAGAAGTCAGGCATTTTTTGAAAGTTTGTCGGAGTAGATTTTACTGGACTAAAAATATAAAAGATGATTAACGCAAAATGAAGGCTTAAAGACTAGCTAGAAGTAAATTTTCAGAATTTTTCCCAGCACACATTAATTTTCGTCTTGCTTATTCAAACTGCGAGTGATCGTTTTCGATTTTCGCATCTTATCAACTTTGAAAGATTTATCGCTTCAGTTTATCATCAAAAATCAAACTCTTCGTGCATTTTTGAATCATCCTAAACTACAAAACACCGAAGAGCACTACATTCAGGGAAAAGTTTATGGAGTTAGCAAAACTTAAGTGCTAGATGCCGACTTGATAATTCACATCCTCGTACTATTTATTGTGATCTGCCTTTTTTAGATCCGTGAATATCATGTCGTGTTCCGACACCGAAGAGTATAACCTCATGTAAGTAAACGTTGCAATAACTTCCGCTCATAGACTTCCACATTTTGAATCACAGATCTCAGAAGGGACGTTCTCTTAACTACGCGAAACAAAAGAGGCTTAATAAACATATCCGCAATGAACTTTATATCACTAAGACGTTATATGACCCAATGGATACGATCAGTAAGGTAGCCTCTGAGTAAAACTATTCAATTCATTATCTTTGCATTCCCAGAATGGCCGAAGGAAAATCTTGGCAGATAGGTCGGACGGGTTTTGCTTAAATGTCCCATATTCTATGAACAAAAAGGAGAGATGGGAGAAGGTAAGCGCTCTACATTGATGACACAACTTTCTTTACTTGAAAATTATAGATTGATGGTATCACCGTTCTTAAAAATCGACAACAGCCGTCAGCAGATGCCCTCGAGACTCTCGTAGTGGATAGAGCGAATGTGCCCTTTTCTGGTAATTCTTTACTGAGTTTCTGAGTTAGATGCTTTTTTTAGCATATTCCTATAGATGAGATCACGGTAATACGGTGAGAAGCATCAAACTGATCCAGAATGATGGCATAACTACATTGGCCAGTGGGGGGAGAAGGAAGACGGTACGTTCGATTTATATTTCAAGGCCATCAGTAGATTACTACCTGAAGACCATCACCGAACGTATCCATCTTTTTCTTTGCATTTGCAGCTCAGCCACTTTAATAATCAAATCAGGGATCTAATAAGGCACATGGACAAAAAAGAAATAGATCCAGCAAGACTCCTCTTCAATTTTTGTACTGCCAATCAAAATTCTGCAAAGCAAACGAAAAGAAAGTCGAAACAGAGTAGATTAGGTTTTGTAGCTTTTTGCTAGCATACTTTGCGAATATTTAGAAAAACGGCGAAGAGCTGTCCAAAAGAGCTGTTCCAGCGATTACGGAGATTACGAGGAGCTAGAAACTCTTGGTAAGATATAAGTAGCTATACGTAGCTCTTTGTTCTTCTACCTTTCTCAGTTCTATGTCTCATTTCTGAATTTTATCAAGTACTTTGTCTCTAATAAGGAATTTAATACATGTGTTAACACTTAGATTGATACCGTGATCTCAGGTCAGAAGAGCATGCAATTTTTGAACTGATAATCATTTACCCTCTTCAGAATGATGCACCGTAGCTAGGGACAGCATATTTGGAATCAGTGTTTGAAGCTGATTCCACTGCATGTTTTTCTTTATGAAAGGCCAATTTAAGTCAGATGCCTTTCCTGCTGAGCGAACTTTTCGAATAGAGAAAAGAACCATTACTAGTGTTTGCTAGAGACATCATTTGCTAGTTTTTTGTTGATTATCGCTTCAGGTCGTTGATATTCATATTATTAAAACTGTGAAAGATGTTGTGCGAAAACAATCGCTATCAATTTGTCCAGTTTCTGCGATGAAGAATCTGGTCAAACGTATTAAAAGAATGTTTAGGGAAAAATAAGTGAGTAAAGCACTTTATTATCGAAAATTTCTGAAAAACTTGATCACATTTTCTTTCACCAGCGATTCTTGTTTTGTTTCTGCCACATCTCTAATTCTACTATTTTTTCACATTCCTAGTATTGTTGTA